AGGGGGGGGGGGGGAGAGAGAGAGAGAGAGAGAGAGAGAGAGAGAGAGAGAGAGAGAGAGAAAGAAAGATTGAGAATATGAATAGGATGGAAGATTGAACAAATATTGGAAAAACAAAGAGGTTGCCAGGCCAGACAAGAATGGGCTGCTGTGAATGCTCTGCAGGCATCCTTAGAAAGAAGTAGGAAGGGCCGACCCCGTGGCTCGCTCGGGAGAGTGCGGCACTGGGAGCGCCGAGGCTGCAGGTTCGGATCCTATATAGGGACTGGCCGGTGTGCTCAATGGCTGAGCGCGGTGCAGGAGACACCAAGCCAAGGGTTACAATCCTCTTACCGGTCGCAAAAAAAAGAAAAAAGAAAAAGAAAGAAAGAAGCAGGAGGAGTCAGCCACTGCTCTTGCTGCAGGGCCCCTGAGCTTGGTGGGGTAGCTCAGAATGAACATATTTGTTCTCCCTCTTTCACCACTGGCATTGTTAATCATGTTTGCCTGTCCACCCAGGAAAATTAGAATAAGGATTTGAGATTTCCAGTGGATTTAAAGTCTAATCAAGGGCTCCTAAATTAAAGGTTTACAGATCAAAAGATCTAGGAAAAGGCACTATTCCCCTCCATCCCCATTTTATCTTCTATTGGTATTTGCTAGTACGTTAAAAGTATAAAGAAGATTAAAGTAAATCGCAATCTTTGTTGTGCATATATATGTGTGGAATGGGGGCAAGGGTTTGAACAAAGAAGCCTAGACACCTTCTCAGGCAAGAGGATGAGTGAAATGGAGAAGAAAGACACAACACTATGAAATCAATGCCCTGGGGGAACAGTGGAGAATGCAGGGTTGGGGTAGCCCTTATCCTGCTGCTGTAAAAAGAAAGTAAGAAACCAAGGAAGCTGGAGTAGTGATTTTTTTTTTTTACACAAAAGGAAAGTGTAAGAGTTAACTACATTCTTTTGTTTAAAGCTCCAAGGAGGAAAATATTCTTACTATGTACACCACCCCTTCCTAAATCCAGGGGGTAGCCTGTAGGTAACTTTGAATACCAGTGAACTCTGCAAGATGTTTTGCCTCTTAAGTGACCTTAAACTTTTTTCTATGTTCAAAGTACTGATAAGGGGCCGGCCCGTGGCTCACTCGGGAGAGTGTGGTTCTGATAATGCTAAGGCCACAGGTTCGGATCCCATATAGGGATGGCCGGTTTGCTCACTGGGTGAGCGTGGTGCTGACAACACCAAGTCAAGGGTTAAGATCCCCTTACCAGTCATCTTTTAAAAATATATATATAAAAAAAAACAAAAACAAAAACAAAGTACTGATAAAATGTAAGGGTTTTTTGTTTTGTTTTGTTTTGTTTTTTTAAATATTGAAACTGTCTTGCATTGACCACTCTGCCTGCACCAAGAGTTACAGTATTGCTGGATATGCTGGAAGTGCTTTCCTAACTATCTGCTTACAAAGTTGGATACTGTTTATGACTGGTTTCCACTCATGCAAGCATGCTCTCAAAGTAGGTGTGTATGTCCTACACAGGATCTAGATTCTGCATGAGAATTTTTCCAAAATTAATACCTAAAGTTTCTATTTCTAGCTAAAATATTGCCCCCACCCCTCATATCATCCTAATTATTTTTATTCATGGTACATGTGACTTCAAGGGTCAATGACAAATGAACCAAATTCTAGCATTTAAGTCTCAGCTGAGAGAGATGGAAAATCTCCAGGATGGGTAAAATTCCAAATTCTTTAAAAACTGGTTTTCATGTTCTCACAGCAGCTCTTGATTATTTTCCCCTGATCCCTCAGGAACAAAGTATTTTCCATCAAAATCCTATTCGGAAATTCCAGCTCTGACTCTCATCCTCTCTTCCCCTACAACATGAGATGGCAGATGAATTAAGGCTCAGGAGGAATCTATGACCCACCATCTCTGGTGAGTTTTGTTTCTCTTCCTGGTTCCAGAGAGGATCAGCTATGCCTTTACCACTTCACTGACAGAAATGACACTCAAGGCATTGCTACTCCGTCACAATTACTTCATATGGGGAAATAAATCACCCCGTCCTTGAGAGAACTTGTCTGATTATCTCAAGCCTGCAGTTCCTATTAAGTAAACCAAAGGACATTGGTCTTAAACCGAATAGTGGCACTGGCAAGACGTGGGAAAGAGGGGGCAAGACACCTCTTACCTGGAGATAACAGGAGCGCTGTTTGCAAATGGATACAGACAAGGGGAAGAAAGAAAAGGAGAGAGCATTAAGGTCCCATCTTGAAAGTATCCCCAGGCTTCATGGTTGCTGGCAGCATAAACGAAAGCAGTGAGCTTAGTAGGTGAGAGCTCAGCAGCCACATGCGAAAGCAGCATTTAGAGCATGCGCAGCAGTAGCAGCAGCAAGAGGTGTGAGCAGCTGAAGACACTGCTGAGCTCCAGGAGTGAGTTTTCCCCATGCCTTCCCTGCAACCCTGAGGGGTAGGGATGAAGGAATGAGGATGCAGGAACCAAGAGGGAGGGGCAGAGACGGAGTTGGTCACTGGTGATCTTGTAGGTGATCACATCCATTATGTAAAGAAGGAGTGAGAATCCAGGTAGCAAGAAAACTGTAGGCTGCAGGGCCGGCCCGGTGGCGCACTGCGCTAGTGCGCCGCTTGGGAAGCGTGGAGGCGCTCCCGCCGAGGGTTCGGATCCCACATACGGACTGGTTCCCGCTCACTGGCTGAGCGAGGCGCAGGGGCAACACCGAGGGTTGCGATCCCGTTGCCAGTCCTGGTCCGGTACGGGGGCGACACTGAGGGTTGCGATCCGTTGCCGGACAGGGAAAAAAAAAAAAAAAAAAAGAAAACTGTAGGCTGCAGGGTCGGCCCGGTGGCGCACTGCGCTAGTGCGCCGCTTGGAAAGCGTGGAGGCGCTCCCGCCGAGGCTTCGGATCCCACATACGGACTGGTTCCCGCTCACTGGCTGAGCGAGGCGCAGGGGCAACACCGAGGGGTGCGATCCCGTTGCCAGTCCTGGTCCGGTACGGGGGCGACACTGAGGGTTGCGATCCGTTGCCGGACAGGGAAAAAAAAAAAAAAAAAAAAAAAAAAAGAAAACTGTAGGCTGCAACTCTGCCAGAGCAGCTGGCTTACCAGTGGAAAATATGACCAGGGGACTTGAATGGGAGCTCAGGGCACTGGGTAGCGGTGTGTAGAGTGGGACAGTGCCCTGTTCTATGTCTTATATCCCCAACCTTATAATCAGAGCATGCTCAGCTTCCCAGTGCCCATAAGGTTTCCATGGCCACAAGTGGTTTCCCAGCTATTGTGCTGTCCAGAACTTTGATTTCCCCTCAAAGAATGACTTAGTGAAAAGGTAAGTCCACAGAATATTTTCTTGGAGTGGTTTGTACTTTTTAGAGCTATGTCCTGGAGGTTGGGGCCATGGACCCCTACCATTTTGTGTCCCTGTGCCTACTAAAGTCCCCAAACTTAGTAGAGTTCAAAAAGACTTGTTTGCTGTGTAGTTTGGCAATTGTCTTTTCCATCAGTGCCATGGTGATGCATCTCTGGGTGGTGGTCTTTCTAATCCAGAAAGGGCAGGTTAAATCAGAGTCAAGATATTCTGGAACAGAAAGACTGTCATACCAATAGCTATTCACAGATGAGAGGTGACACGTACAAGGTCTCTATATGAACTATAAAACTAAGTTAAAGACATACCCAACACAGGTTGTCCCTAGCCCCTGAATTTGTACTTATGCTAAACTCTCTTAGACTCCAAGGTCCAAAAATTTAAAAAAGTTCTTGTGGCACACCACATTTTCATCTCCATGGTGTCAGTACAGCACCTCCTTCCTTGGCCTTTGTCAGGTAAAGATCTGGAAACATCCTGTCACATATACCTCGTGCAGCTGGTGACTGATGGAGGTTGCTGAGGAAGGAGTGTATGTGTGGGAGGGGTGGGTCTGTAAATTGTTTCTCTAGGAATGCAACTCAGGCATGTGATCCATAATTCTAGATCCACAGCCACCTAAGACACATGTACATCCAGAATCTGCATGGTATATAAACAGGGCGAACAAGGAGTTGACTTTTTCTGGTATCTCCCATCTAGAATTCCAAAGGGTAATTGATCAATGGATCTGCTCACTACATTGAGACAGACAGATAGATAAATAGACAGGAAGATAGACAGACAGCTAGAGAGCTTGTTCATTCTGCTTCTTCCATGCACCTGCATGGAAGAGCCCCCTTTTGGCCCCCAAACTTCAGTGAAGACCAGAGATCCCAACACACCAATGCACTCAGGTAGGCTGGACAATGCCATCACTTCCAGAAAAGGTCCCTGTTGCCCTGGTTTTCACTCAGACATCCCTCCCAGCATCCTGCTCATCCCTAGAGCAGTGAGACGGTCTGCAGTCAGCTGGAATTGCATAATTCTCCAGTCATTGTCTCTGTGCATCCAAGACTTTCCACTCAGCAGTTACAGATGGGTCAGCGAGATCCAGGTAGGCCAACTTTGAGTGACACAATACCTCAAGGGTGTCTTTCCCGCTGCTGCTGATGCTGAGAGAAGCTGGGGCTGACCTTACGCCTGTAACAAGCAGGTCCCATTCTTGCGAGAGAGTGCTTTCCTTTCTCCCCAAGACTTCCAATGTCCAGGCCCAGGCCCAAAAGCAGGCACTATGTGGCTCAGTGTTGCTCTCAGAAGTCCATTGCCAGACTCCCAGGCTCATTCCACTCCAGGGCAACTATGTTTCCTATTCATCCTCTCTTTTTCCCTCCCCAAGCTTGTCCAGAGCTTTTGATCTCACCTCTGAAGTCTGTTTTATTTGCCAAGAACAGAGTCTTCTATTTCAAATCCAGTCCTTTTTTTTTTTTTTTAAATGCAATTGTCATTTTGACCATGCAGAGCCTCTGTTGTTCTGAATGCCAAAGACGCTCCCATGTAGCATTGGTAATGAAAAGCAATTTCCACTGTACTGTCTCTCACTCTGAGAACAGCAGGGAATTCTGGAAATCAGAATGGGTTTTCATTTGATTCCGAGCCTAGACAATCAGATTTTATGAACTTTCACCTTATGGTCTGATGCCAAAATATGGGAAGAACTAGAGAAACTGCAAATTAACTCCCTCAATAGACAATAGAACAGGAGGCTGAGAAATTGATAAATTTCTTATTGGCATCTTCTTTCTTGGCCTCTTGGTCACTGGGAAGATCTGGGGGCATATCACACAGATAGTTTGCTGAAATCTTTATCTTCTCACCTACTTCCTCCCCCAGGTCTAGGCTCCACCAGGGCTTTTCTGATATCACTTTGGACAAAGAGTCCAGTGCAAGAAAGGAAGGTGTCCTCAAATGAGGAGTAGCCATAGGTGTTTGCATTTGGCTGGGTCTCTTGAAAAGCGAAAGGCTTATCTTAGGTCACACTCTGCCCTGCTGTTGGTAGGGATTTTAGGGAAGGCAGAAAAGGAGAGCCTCTTTACTGGTGGAATAAAGGCGCATATGGACTACCAATCTCTTCCTCCTGTCTGGAGCTACTACCGTCCTTCCAGCTGCCCTGAACGATCCTTTGTGCTGTTTTTGTTTGCACCTAATTAGCTGGGACTGTGCAAATTGTTGAAGCTGGCTTACAATGGCCTTCAGTATCTGCTGCTTCCAAACAATCATGAAGATGCAAAGTAAATGCTCAAGGGAGGTGGAAATGAGGTAGGGCGGGTGCTGAGACAACTTCTGAGAATACTCTTGGTGGCAGAAACTGGAAGATTGGCAGCTGTACAATGTGGGAAGCAATGGAGCCAGAAAGATTCTCTTTCTTCCAGCACTCTTTGGCAGTCATGCTAGCAGCCGCATCTTATTAGGTGGCCAAGAAGATAATGAGCAATGGAAAATGGAGAGGGCTTCAGTCCCTAGAGCACCAGGTGTGTCCAAACCAGTACAGGCACAGAGTTGGTCAGCTCTGCAGACTCCCAGCAGATAATGAGAACTGACCAATTGTACGGGTCCAAGAAAAACTAGAAGAGCCTTTGGGAGTGTGGCTGCTGAGTCTCTTAGATCTGTCCTTGAGAGAAAGGCGTTAGGCTGCTCTTTGTCATGTGAGTACAAAGTTGTTGCAGTATAACCACCCCTTTATGGAAAACAAGTGGATTTGACTGTTCCGTGCTTCAGGAGGGTCCCAGCAGCATATGTCTCCTGCATAGGATTGTGAATGTCCTCTTGGTACTTCCCAAAAGCACTCTTACCCATTTTCACATCTATTTCTCCAACACTTTTAAAGTCATGGCTTCCAACTGTACCATTTTCTTCAAGGGAAGAAATCCCTCCTTACATCTACCCTGGCTGCAACACAGTCAGCCCGTTAGGGATGAACCCCTGGCAGGTATTCCTAGATGTGTGTCCAGAGGAAGCAGGCGATAAGGCCACTTCTTGTGTGGGATGAGGGTTATCTCAGGATGTGGGCAATGTGCTCACTTGCAGATGCCAAAAGGCAGGTGTCCATGAACTGTCCAACACCTGTCTCCAGGGATCAGCACCAACTATACCATTTAGAGTCCCTTCTGTTGGAAAATCCACAAGTCGATACTCCAGGCCTGCCCAATGTCAGTCCTTTTCCAGGGCCCACCACTAGGGGGATTTTTAAACCAGGAATTACTTCCTTTCTTTTGTAGACTCTCAATTTTCTGCTTTAGAGGTTGCTTTATCTCAAAGAAGCCTGAATAAGGTACCCTACCTTGGGCTAGGAATAGGGGTAAGATGGGATGGGGTGGGATGCCTTGGGGAGGAAGAATAGCTCAGGATTCTGAATTGCATGACCACCTCCAAAGCCAGCTCCCTCTCAGAGAGCTCTCAGAGGCCATGGCCTCTGACAAACAGTATATCTTCCCATGTAGCGATCTACCCAACTGTGAAATAGCCAGATAATACACTTACCTTCACGAAGGGCAGAGGGGCCTGTGGGCCACTCCACAAGTGAATAACCTGCCAAGCATTCAACAGAAGTTGGGGATGCAGCAGAAAACTGTCAAAGCATCTTTGCAACAGGGGCCCTACCCTCCATCCCAGACCCTCCCCCATTCGATCCAGGCTGGAGAGAGGGAGGCGGGGAGGGGCACAGCATGCATCGCACTACTCCTCTCTTTTTCTTCTCCTCCCCACCCACCCAGCAGTTCCCACATTTACAGGCCACAGTGTGGGGGTGGGGTGGGGTGGGAAGAGTGCAGGGGATGGTGGCAATGGGATAATCATTGTAGCAAAACACGGAAGTAACTCAGGAGGGTAATGAGGAGCTCAGGCTGCAGTGTGGCCCAGAAGGTGGGAAAGGAGGAATCTGGAAATAAGCTAAGGCTGATGAGAAGGCAGAGATGATATGAAACAGGGTGAGAGTGAGAATACAGGAGGGAAAAGAAAAAACTGTTGGTCAGAAGGAAAAAGGAGGAGAAGGAAAAAAGGGGGGAGAAAAGCAGCAGGCTTCATTTCAGTAGATATATCCTGTCTATTGCTGGAACACAATTGTGAATTTGTGTAGGTGAGCCTGCTTTTTGGTGAACTTCCAGCACATTGGAATTTTGTCCACCTACTGGGCAAATTCAAAATGATTTTCATTAGCTTCAAAGTGGTGCAGGCTTCTTCTCATGTTGAATCATGGAAACTCTCTGCTCTTCCAGCTATGTATTAATATATTTGTGCATAGCCCTGACTGTCCTTTTTTTTTTTTCGTTTTCTTTTTTTGTTGTTTTGTTTTCAAAGAATCTCACACCTGATATTCCACGTTCCATCCATCTCGGCTCACCAAGGGCAATGAAGAAATTCTCTTGCCTTTCGTATTCCTCCTCATCTACTATTTTAACCCTTATGGTTTTCCTGTAGGGACAACAAGAGAGAGAGTGTGTCGACTGGGTCAGCAGGTCGATTGGTCACCTGGAGCACAGCCTTTAAAATCATTCCCCATCACTCTTGGCACATGCAGCCCAGTCCCGCCATGGTGGCTTTTGACAGGACCATGGTGGATTGTGTCGTTCTCATAATAAAAAATGGTCTTAGCTTTTCTTGTCTCCTTGGCATAGTTGTTTTTATGGGTGAGAGGGAAAGGGATCCAGGAGGCAAGGAAAGGTGGGCAAAGGAGAGGAGCCAGGAGGATGGGAAGGGAACGGGAGGGAGGAGGGGATGACGGGGGGGGGAGTTGTTTCAGATCCTGCCGAGGTTAGTAGGACGTGAGTTGGGCAGCACATTCCATTGGGTGTCACATGGCAGCAGTGGCAAGTCTCTGGCAACAGGAGAACTACTGGCCCTTCAGGAACGACCCAGGGCCCTTCTGTTGACATTTCCAGAAAATGTCAACAGAACCCAGGGCTGTGTCTCTTCTTTGTGTCTGCACTCTGTTGGGAGCCTCATAAGGAAAATTTTAAAATGAAAGTATTTATGAGGAAGGGAGACCAGAGAGAGAGAGAGAGAGAATGGGAGGCCAGTTCTATGATCTTTCGAATGATCTACCTCACGGGGCTTCAGTGATAAGAACTAACATAAATATGTATTAACCACCATATGATACAGGGATCCGTTGCTGTTTACAGCTGATGCACTCCTGGAAAAATGTGAAGATGACGTAAATCATCAAATTCTAAATCATCTTTGAACTTCTATCATATAGGGGTGACATGTCCCAAGGCTGGCTTCCTTAGGTGTTGATTATCACGGGTCTGGGGCACAAGGTGATAAAGCTTTCTGTTCATCTCTGGGTATCTCAACAAAGCAAAGTGTCTTTTGAAAACAAAGCAGCCACGGAAGGAAGCAAAGTTTTCTTGAAAACTGCTCCCCTCCAAAGACTGGCTCAGGCCCATCGTCATGTGGGAGGCTGTGAAGTGGGCCTGGCTCTTGCTGTGTGGCTCTTCCCAGTCCTTCATGACTGTGGTGATCAGCTGGTCATCCTCAGTGAGCTGGAATTGTTATTTTCTGCTCATTTTTTGGCCTGGGACCTAAATGCTGTTTAAAGGGCAAAGAGTTGCTCATGAGCGATAGCTGAAATGTCTCCTCAGACCCTCTGATGTTCCTATTACATTCTGAGCACTGCTATCTAAAATGTAGTAGACTGATCTGAGGTGGTTTGTGCACAGGACTTGCTGTGCATTTATGAGGAGGTGGGAATGCGTGTGTGACAAATACAGTTTTTGTCAGTTTGGGGGCACTTTTTTGACACCTTTTCATACCTTGCTCAGTAGACAAAAGACAAAGCTCACCGATTGTTAAGAGGCATTTTTTGGTGTCTGTTGGCCCTAGATATGAGACCCTAGGGCTGTCTACAGGATGTGAGCCTGTCCTGACTTTCAGCTGCAGGGTCTTTGTTGAGGGATGGAAATGAGTGCTCTGTGACCATAGGCATGGCCTGGAGGGGCCTGACTGACCACTCAACCAGGGAGGAAACATTGCCCCAAATACTGGCAGCTACCTTCGCCACAGCATGGGCTACCAAGAAAAGAATGTTCTGACTTGTCCATTGCAGGCCTGGGATGAATAGGGTCATTTAAATTGGAGGCAAAGCTTCCATCAACTCTGAGAAATCCCATGGACTTCTTGGGGAAGGTTCCATTCAGGTCAGAATCCTCTCTCCCACTATTCTAACTCTCTGCCTTTACACCTAAATGCTCTTTAGGGAAAGTGAAGTAGTGACTGAGACCTAGACCTCAAACCTGTACTTTCAGCCCAGTCAAGGTCAGGGAGAGAAACCAGCCTTGATAGAAGGGATGTGGAAAGCAAATGGCTCCTAAGGCCTCATTTGGGGAGTGGGATAACCTGTGATGCAAATACATTGCTTCTCAACTTCCCAGGACTATAAGCATAGCCCTGAGAATAACTGCCCCATGGAAGTCTGTGCCGGGAGTCTGCTGCCTAGCTCTGCCCTCTTGCCTACTTCTGTGCTATCTGGCCCTTTTCTTTCCTCTAGACTAAGCCATTCAGGAGAAGCCAAGCATCTCATGTACGACACTCTTAGTGATTTGGCTCGTTCTCTCTCTCTCTCTGTCTCCAGGCTGTACTCAATTCCTCATCCCACAAAAATTACCGTGAGTCTTGGGCACCCCTTTTGTAGATGCCATGTGACAGGTTGGCAGGTATTAGGACATAGCTGGGAGCAGAGAGAAGAGAGAGGAGCGGGAGAAGAGAAGGGAGAGCAGGAGGGAGAGCAAGAGAGGGAACAAGGACAGAGAGCCAGAACCGTGAGTCTTGGGCACCCCTTTTGTAGATGCCATGTGACAGGTTGGCAGGTATTAGGACACAGCTGGGAGCAGAGAGAAGAGAGAGGAGCGGGAGAAGAGAAGGGAGGGCAGGAGGGAGAGCAAGAGAGGGAACAAGGACAGAGAGCCAGAGAGGTAGAGGATGAGAGAAGGAGACACAAGGACTGGAGAGAGGCAGGAAGAAAGGAGGAGAGAAGAATGCGAGTGTTAGCGTGGAGGACGGGGTACTACACCTTTCTGAAAACTCATATCCACCATGCGGGGGCCCATCATCTCAATGAAGTAATTCTTGTTTTTCTCATACGCCTCATCATCAATTACCTTGATGTGAATTGTTTTGCTGTGGATGGAAAAAGAAGGATCATAAGCAAGGAGCAGAGTGGGGGGCAAGGCAGCCAGGAGAAGAAACAAGAAGAGAAGGAAATAGCAAAGAGATCCAAGAGGGTCCACGTTTGCCCGACAGCACCAGGGCATGCAGGAGAATGGCCGCCCTGGGCCCCCAGCCTCCAGCTCCTCTTGGGCTTTGTGTGGCTTCATTTATGGTTATTCGTGAAGACTGAAAAGAGTAGGGCTTTACCGCCAAAGGCTCTGGGTTCTAATCCTGAATATGCTGTGTGATCTTAGACAAATAATTTAACCAATACACAAACAGGATGAACAATGCTTACATCCTGGGGCAGTTGACAAAGTATACATATAAAGGCTCAGGCAGTAAGGTCCTCCCCTGTGCATGTGTTTGCTTCCCTATCCCTCTTGCTTTTGGGACAAGGGAGCAGTTTTCAACTTTTGAAACCAGCTGAAAGTTTTATTTTACGGAAAGGGCAGAAAGGAAGGGACAAATTGGCCTGTGGGGATCTTGCCCAGAAATAGTAGAATTTCTCCCTTTCTGTATGGCAGTGATGATCCCAGGAGAGCCAGGAGGGCTGTTCAGCCCATGCTACACATTCTGGTAATTCACAGCGGGCCTCAAAAACTACTGACACTATCTCCAAACAAGCTTCTGCAGTCCCTGGATGCACTGGCCGGATCACAAAAGCTCCAGGGCACTCCAAATTACGATTCAGGTTTCTAAGTCCTAGCAAGAGCTGTGACTAGCACAATTCTATTGTTTTATGTTAAATGGTGTTATTTTGTTAATGTAAACATTTAAAGACATACACCAGTTTTAGTAATCCAGTTTCGCATCACTTCTTTTTTTCTTTATATTACCAGAAGCTTTAAAAATAGAGTAGGACCTGGGCCTCTCTGAACTTGCCTGAGTGGGGGAATATTGCAGGACCAGATCCCAGTCAAGACGTTGAGACATTGCTGGACAGGGGTGGGCATGGAGCTGAGTGTCCCCTCAGCAGTGGGTGCGAGGAGACCCACGCAGGAGCCCTGGCCAGCTGCCCCGGGTATGTACCTCTCAGACCTCTGCCCCGAGGACCGGCCTTTGTAGAGAAGACGAGGCCTTCAGCACCTCTCTGTGTTCTTTCCTATACAGTAGGAATATATTTACATTCTAACTCGGGCCAGCCTCTCTGGTCTCCTGAGCTTTCCCAAGTCACCGTTAGAGCTGTGGATGTCTACAGAGCCTCCGATGTCCGTCCTGTTTATCTTGCTGAATCAGATCTGGGTCCGTGGCTCCTGAAGTGAATGTAACAGCAGTTACTAACACACTGGGTCCCTCTCTCCACCGCTTATAAAAACAGACTACAAACCTTCATCATTCGCCATACCCACCCCGGTCACAGAAAGACCTAGTGAGCTACCATGGAGCACGTGACTATTGGATCTGTGACAGGCACCACACTTAGTCCTTCCTTCCTCCAGGTGATGGAAGCTGATGACCTGGGTTGACATCCCGTGTGCACCCGTCACTAGCTGGGTGAACCTGGGCAACTCGCTAACGCTTTCCAAGTGTCATGTGTAAAATGAAATAACAACAGCTACTTTAAGTGCTCTTAAATGCAATAACACACGCGAAGCCCTTGGCAGGTGTTTATTCCCTATCAAGCATTTAATAAATAGCAACCAATATTACTAAGAGCAATAAAGACCCCAGTTTGGTGGTTTGAGAGCCATGCGCAAGGGAATCTCATCATTTCCAATGATTTAGTCTTAAAAACTGAGAAAGTTCTCACTTCTGCTTAAGTCACAAACGAGGCCACAAGAATGTTCAAATTTAGTAAGAGTCGCCAGCTGGGTCTTGAGTTCTCTTGTCCCTCCCCATTTCAGTCCAGGGCACCGTCACCTACCCAACTGTCCGAGCCCCAAACCTGGAGCTGCCCCGATCCCTTGCTTTCCCTCATCCCTCCGTCCCTGCCCCCACCCTGCTCCCAACACACTTAATTTGCCTCCCCCTTTCCCTCTGCTATCAAGACCTAGATCAAAACACTGTCACGTCTCCCTTGGACTGGGCAGTGGCCTCGTACGAGGTTTTCCTATTCCTGATATTGTCCTCTTTCTTCAGTTCCTTCCCCACATAACAGCCAGAGTTTTCTATTTAGTAGAGATCTATTGAATAAATTCAGTCCAGGTCCTATCATACCCTCTGTGATTGGAATAAACAAAAAGCCTTTACCGTGGCCTGTAGGGAATCACGTTCCCCCCTTGCTCTGGGTCCCAGACCTGTTCTTCAAATCAAGTCTTTTCCCCTTTAGGGCATTCCCCTTGCTATTCTCCCTGCCCGGGACACTCTTTCCCCAGGTCTGTGCTTATCCTCATCCCTAGGTCTCCATGTGAACATCACCTCCTGGGAGAGGTCTTCCCTGGCCACCTTATGTACAGGATGTCCCTCCCCTCATGGTCACTTTCCATCATGTCACTCTGGTCGTTCCCCTCAGTGCACTTATCACAGCCTGAAGCCTATTCCTGATATTGTCCTCTTTCTTC